ACCCTAGAAATCAAAAGGAGAAAGAAGAATTTTTTTTAAACCCTCGACCATTGGCATTTGGTATTCGAAGGATTAAGGCATGATTGAAATCAGTTTACATGATGCGGCGGTCGCTCGATAAAGCGGTAGCGAATCAACAACAATAGGCCGGCGAGAGGCATTCGACGAAGGGAAAACAAGAAGAGAAATCACATAGGCGGCATTCGAAGGAGGCGAAACCGTGAAAAATGAAGAAGAGAGATGAAATACGCACTAACTATCCCTCGGCGGTTGTCCCAAAAACTTATACCGCGATGCATGCCAAATCTCACGCTCCTTTAATTGGCGCTAAATCAGATATGCCCTAATCGGCATGTGTTAAGGCACTTAGATAAATGTGTTTTAATATATATGTTGTTATAAATATATTTTTTTGTAGTGATTAATATATGCTGAAATAGTTAATAAGATTCTTCATTATTTGCCTATTATATATGATTATAAAATAACTGCAATTATAGAGTCTAAAGATTTGAATATTTACTCTATTGACAATCTTCTTGGATCACTAATTACTTATAAGAAAGGAGTGAGTCAAAGAAAGATTGATATAGGAGAACAACGAAACGAGAAGAACATTGTACTGAAAGTGGAGGAGTCATAGAGTGATCTATCGTAGCCTGAGGATGAGGATGACATCATATTAAAGACTAGACATTTTAGAAGCTTTCTAAAGAGACCTTAGATCTATCTAGATCCTAAATCAATCCTAACCCAAAACTATCTAAATCCTAAATCAATCCTAACCCCAGATCTATTTAATCTTTAGATCAACCCAGACTTAATCGTATCAGCATCTTATAAAGCTTCAATCTCATCAATTCATTTACAATCATCCCATTGTTTGAAAATTATTTGGATGATTCAAATCCAAGAAATCAAGTTTAAAATCCAGCTCAAATCCAGAAATCCAGACTGAAACCCAAGGCCAAAGGTCTAACTCCTAAAAGCCTTTTCCAATATATTTTCAAACACTTCAAACCCCAGTCAAAAGATCTCTGATTTAGAGTCTATCAGTTGCATACTAATGGGACATGTCTCTAGGGGCAACCTGCCAAATTTGAGCTCAATCTAAGGTCTCTAACCCTAAAAATTTAATTAAAAACAAAAGGCTGTAAAACCTTCAAAAAATTTATGGTTTATGCCACTTGACCTGCCATCCAATGGATTTTGACCTTGGAACATTCTCCAAAGCCTCAAATCACTTCTAGATCCTTAATTATGACCCATTGAACATTAAACTGCATTTTGTTGGACTCACCTTGATCACCAGCTATCTAGAGATCAAAATGACCAAAATACACCTTAGGGGTGTGAACAATCACCTTGGATCAAATGAGCTCCAAATCAAATGCAATCACTTCCAGCAAGTTTCAAATGTCAAATCAAACCTGTTGGACCCAAACCCAGGGCTTGGGTCAACCTGGTTGACCAAGTCAACCCAAGTTGACCTAAAGGCCAAATAAGAGGCCCAAACAGGTATTCTGGCCTAATTGATCTCCACAGACCCTAGGATTACCTCCAATAGTATCAGAATGTCATTTTAAATTTGTCTAGCCCAAATCTTGACCCTGGGTCAACCTGGTTGACCAAGTCAATCTAGGTTGACCATTTTAAACCCTATAAAGCTTTCTTATTTTGAATCAAACCTCAAATTCATTTAAAACTCCTTCAAACTTCTCTGATCACTTTCCCTAGTGATTTAGACTTGATTGGGCCTTTGATCCAATCATCAATTGACTTGATCAACTATGACTCAAATCTAGCCTAATTTGACCTACTTCGGTCAAATCAAGCTATATCATCAAATTAATATTTTTATGCCTTCAATATCATTTCAATGTATGTCCTAAATACATTTGAATATGTTATGAATCAATCCATGGTCATTTTGACTAAGTCAACTTCTTTGGACTTGGTTAAACTAGCTTAAACTCCCTTTCATGCCTTCAAGCCTTATCCCTAGCCATTAAACCCCTCTAACTTATCATTCCAACACTTAGAGATCCCTCCCATACCGCCTCAGCTGCCATGTGGCATGAGGACAAGTAAACTTGTCAAACCATGGTTTTATAGTGGTCAAAGATGGTCAAAACCCATCTTAAACTTAATGTACTCCTCCCTAACCCATTCCAGCAGCTTAAACTCATTATAGAATATTCGTAAGGCCTATCCTAACCTTTGATTTAAGATTAAACAACTTAGATCACTCCCATGTGCTCACAAAGAGACAAAATGGCTTTTACACATCATTAAGCCTTTTTTTTGTTTGTACCCTATGCTCCTAATAACTCCATGGACAGGTGGCCTGATCCTAGAGAACCTCTAAGTCGATCCCAGCCATCCATATCACCTGGAGACGTTTGAATAGTGCAAAAACCTTCAAAAGAGGATTGATTCATGACCTTAGGTCTCTCTCTCTCTCTCTCTCTCTCTCTCTCTCTCTCTCTCTCTCTCTCTCTCTCTCTTTCTCCCCCTCCATTTAAGCTCCTCAAACCTAGCCACCAGTCCCTTTTAGCTCTAGACATTTCCTCCTTCAACTCCCCACTGAAACTCACAGTAAAATGACGCCGATGATTAGTTTTCGACGAAGGGAAGCTCAAATCCTTCCAAGGCACATTACTCTCAATCCAGATTTTTGAAGATCAAGCGGTCTTCTATAATATTATACATGGATAAACTACAGTTTCAGAGAACCAAATCCATTCAAATCTGCTTGTTTGATAAGGTATAAAACAAAACCCTATTTTATATCACACTAGTCTAATTAGCTTCTCATTAAGCTTGTTTTAAGCTGTATCAAACACCCCATATGATTTCTGTTCAACTATAAAATCTGTGTTTAAAATTTTGTTGATTTTCATCAAATATTTTGAGAGAATGAGACATTTAGTCATTTTTAGGGCATTAACGGTAACTTTCTTGCTGGGACAGAATCTGGACCATTGATTTCTTTGATCAACAGTTATGATCTCATTTTTCCGCTTTTTAGTCCACCAGTGTATTCGCATTCCATTATTTGGCTTGATCCGAGCCGTTCATTTGAAATAGCGGGCGATCAAACGGCTGTAATGTGCGCTGATATGGCTTCGATCTGCTCCGCCATTACAATCATTTGCAATAATTACATGGCGGCGCAATCATTGTAAATGATTGTTTGCCGCCGTGATCTTTCACACTGGCCAATAACGCCTGCCATGTGTCATACGCCGTCGGTGGCGCAGCTAGAGCATTAAAATGATTAAAAATTTGATTTTAAATCATTTTTTAATCTGATTTTCTTTGAAAAAATTTATAAAAACAAATATTAATTTAAAATGTTAATATATTATCATATTTTTTAGAAAATTAAGATCTTTAGTTTAAAATTAAACTTAATTAAAAATATTACATATATTATAAATTCTTTTAAATATTAAATATTAAATATTTTTCAAATAATATTTAACTAAAATGATAAAAAATAAAAAATTCATTTTTAAAATTTTCTTAAATTCAATTCTAAAATCTCAAAAATATTATTTTTTCAAATATATTGATTAAATTATGAAACGTAGTTTAATCTACGCAATGGACCTTCAATCTCTCTGGTTGATTCAATCTTTGACATTTCATCTCAAATCACTAATTGGGGTGAAGGAGTCAAGTTGTTTTCTTAAAATCTTCCCTATTAAAATTTGTAAACTGTTGCGTTGAATGCAAATTCAACACCTCGAGTTTCAAA